TAAAAGGTAACATAATTGTTGTCCAACTATTAAATGTCTTGCCCAGAGTCTAAAAGTACTTAATAAAAAATATTTTAATCACCAAAATGTTTTTTTTTCTTAAATATGATCTCTGAAAGATTCTCGTTCATGGACTTTTACTCCTGTGTCTCAGCTGCCTATCTCTGCACAGGACAGTGATAACTCCTTGTTTTTGATCCCAAAACTGATGGATTAGAAACATGGTCACCACTAGAATTGAGTACATTTTCATTTACGTGTATTTGTATGCAAAGCCCAGTAAGAGTCTAGTCTTGGCTAGAATAATGTCATTTTTTGTTGATTGCTAAATGCTCACTTGATACATTTTCTTTTTCCTGTTTAGCAAGTCTTTATCAGTGGATCACGGCAAACCTCTGTTTATACCAGCAGGCCTGGATTCGCTGAGCCAAATAGGTTAGGATATTTCCTGTTCATCGTGTTTGTCGCTTAATTGTTTTTGAAAACAAGAAAAAAAATCTAAGCAAATAAAAAATACATTATAGCACATCAGCATCAGTTTGAATAGATTATTGAAGGAAATTACTTAGAAAGTTTAAAATTACAATTCAGTATTTATATTATTGAGAATTACTTGCGCAGTTTTGTTAGGTAGTTTAATAAAGTATCAGGACTACTTCAAATAGTAAAGTACCAACGAGGTTAGGTCTGAAAGAAAATATAATATACGATACCACTCAGCCCCTTTCATGGTAGGAGGTGAGTGTTTTTTCAAACTTGTTTCAGCTTGTCACTGTAGAAGATAAAATATTAAATTAGGTGGATCATTATCCAAAATGCTTTGATAATTTATGTTGTTATGACAACATATTTGTATCACTTTGTGCTGTGCTCTCATCCTTAGGACCACCACCCGCCTCTGATAGTGATATTGGAAAGATGCGTGCAAACACACCGTTGGAACTGTGGAAAAAAGTATTTGAGAAAACATTTCCTCCCAAGGTAGGTATTTACACGTCTGCTTCACAGGTTCTTTTCTCACAGAATAGTAGTAATATCACTGCTAATTTTTGTCTTTCAAGTCCAGTCACTGGAATTTCAGTCTCACTTAGCAGTTCTGTTTCTTCCAACCTCTTTAATTCATACTTTTTTAAAAGGTACAGACTTGTATGTAGTGGTGCTTTGATTATTAGCTTCTGCATCTTCAGTTGCCTTCCTACATTTAGTAATAATGAAAGTACCAATGTAACCCTCTGTTTTTTCCAAAGTTATACCATTGCCTTTCATTACATTGAGAGACAAGCTATACTCAATGTTTTTGGAATTTTATAAGGTGACGTATCCCCTAATGCCTAAACCAAATGACAGTGATATTCCAAGATGAGAGCTCTTCCTGGCTGTAGCAAGCTACCGATCCTTGCTCTCCTAGGGCATGAGGCTTTGAATGAGGCGAGTGCGTTAAGAGTTCCTCGCCAAAATCTGTCATTTTGCTATGGGAAGTGTTTGGATTTGCAAGGTAATTATAATCCCTTGGCGCCTATGTAGTGATAAATCTTCTACATACTTCAGAAAATTCTGGACCCAAGAGGCAAACCCCCAAATACTTTTCAATAAAAAGTAATTGCTGCTGTTAGGAAATCAAAATTCTTTTCTATTTGACCTGAGCAAATACAGGCTGCTGCTTTCTCCTCATGTACTAGATTGTATCACAGTTCTTTATCCCTGTCCATTTCCGGCCCTACAGCTTACCTGGGCAGGCAATGAAACGGTGCCTCAAATTACAGTGCACAAACTGGGCTTTTTCTACTTTTCACTCTATGGATCTCCATTCTTGGCGAGAAGGAGTCTGAATTCACCCTTTCCTACTCACTTGACTGCTATATATCAAAGCCTACTACAAATTATTTCAGGTGGTTTGTGACCAGAAGAAATTATCACTAAGATGCCATTCTGAGTACAGTATGCCCCAACATGATAAAGACTAAACTTTACTTTTCAAAAACTGTACAGGACTGTTATTTTTCATGTCACTTTTGCCCATAGCCTTTTAAAACACAATAAACAAACCTTCCCCAACCCCCCATGCCATAACTCCCGAACTCCCCCTGAAACAGCTGGAGAAATGAATACATTTCTCATCTTGCAAGCTCCGTCAGTGTTCTGAGGTTTTAGTCTAATTAAAGAAGATTTGCGAAGGAGATTCCTAGTCTTCTGTTTTGGTTCCAAAATACGCTTTGAACTTCAAACCTGTTTTTATGATTGTGAATTTCTTTTTTCCATCACCTCATCTAATAGTAATTATAATTCTGATTTATTTTAATCCATCATTTGTATGATTGACTTATTGCTACTTTCCATTTGTTATGAGTAGGGAGCGATCTGCAGGACAACATTCAAAAAAAAAATCTTATTTGATAGTGTTTCTTTCTTTTAGTGTATTTGCTTCTTTGGAATTAAACTTAAACTTATAGTTCCCTCAGGGTTAGTAAATGAGATTTCAAGTGTTCGGCAAAAAGATAGTAACCAATTTCTCAGATATTGAAATAACGCTTCTGGTAACTGGAACTGAATTTTAGTCTTGAGTATTAAATGCTCTAGCAAGAGCAACCTTAACACAAATGTCATGGGCCGGAAGGATATTTTCATTTTGAGGAGAAAAAAATAAACAACTAGCAAATAAGAATATTTTCTTTCCTTTAAGATCTAACTGCACTATTACTTTCTCATCATTTTACCGATCTAAGATAAAATATACTATATTTTATCTAATCCGTGTCCTATAGCACAAAATTCTTCCATAAATGCAGGATTTTAATACATTTGTATTAAAAGCAAAATACTTCCGTTAGATCTACAGAGTTGCATTTTCTTGTTAAAAGAACAAAAAATAAATTTTATCGTTTGGGCCTTTATCATTTTTTCTTTTAGAGTTTCTGCGATTTACAAGATACCAAGGACCCTGCACAGGATTTACAATACGCTGAGTATGAAGTGGATGTTATGAGAGCTCAGAAAAACCAGGTGTGTGGTTGTTCTCCAGTTGCTGTTCACAGTCAGGTATTCCAGAACCACCAGCATTGCTGAATTAATTGTAGAATATACTCGTCGCCCCCTTTTTGCCTTTAAATAACCTCAGTGTTAGTTTTCAACTTAGTCGTTTGGGCTTTTTTTTCCATTGGTAGACATTAAGCAGGTAGAGCATTGTTAGATCTCAAAGTTTTGGCTCTGTGGTTTCTTTAGAAATGAATAATTCAAATTTTCCCTCTAGCTCTCTTCCAGAGTTATTTCACTAAAATAATATTGAAGCAAAGCTGTGAACTGTGAAGCTTTCTTGGCAGTAATGTCTTCATTTCTGCACCCTGTACTCTCATTGGACGTTGACTAGCAGGAATTCTAGGAAGTGGTATCAAGGTTTGGGGTGGGGGCTGTTTACTTTTTTATTTTTGTCTTCCACCTTCAAAACTTTTTATTTAAACTGGAAAGGTACTGAGATGATAACACTGCTGACTCGAGTTTGCAGGCTATCTACGTTTTATCTTAAACAGAGTGAACAGAATTATTCCACATAGTGATATTTGGCTTAACCCCTGAATTCCAGGAAAGACCTTTGGTGGGGAAAGGGTCTTTTATTTTTTCTTATTAATTCTGGAGTGTTAAAAAAAATTTGAAGTGAATTAATTTTATAGAAAAATTCTGTGGCAAACTAGATGAAGGTTAGAACATTGCCTTAGATATCAGTGTACGTACAGTATTTCTACTCACGTGATGTTAATAGTCTTCATCAATATCATAGGTGTGGGTCTGTTAAAATCAATCCAAGATTTGTGTATTTTTCTTTGGTTGGAAGAAGTATCACATACTTATTCTGGAAGCTCTCTATTTCACGTAGATTCTTTTGTTCCACACACAGAAAATTCTTTGCTAGAATGACTGAGAAACATTCCACTCTACTCTCGCAGCTTATATGTGGGCTATTTGTACGCCATTTAACTTCCTTGTGGACCAAGTTACTGCAGTTAAAGGAGGTCTTTCTAACAGCGCATAAGGTGATGGATTGTACTAATCTAGATCTCACATGCTTTTACAGACCCACACTCTTGAGATGAAAGGCAGTTTTATTGAATTGCACAGCAGTTAATCTCAACTAACCCTCAAATACCACGGCAAACTTCATCTTTTTGCATGCTTGTAAAAGAAAGCCAGAGGATTAGATTATTACTGCTATCACATTTTTGTGGAGTTTAGTTAGATTGCATAAGGCAGTAAACCTGTAGTTACCTGATCTCAAAAAAAAACCATTAATAATGTAAAAGAATAAAGCAATTTCAAGAATCCCCTGCAGTCTTTGAACTTGCACATTACCTGTAATATCCTGTTAATGTAGGCATCAGTTCTGAATTTCTGTTGCATCAAGAGCAGCCTTAGAACTCATTAAAATTTGTAAAGCACATTGCTTTTGGAATTTATAATGTAATCTCATACTCAGTATATCTATATATCTCAAAATAACTATATGGTGTACTAGGTTTGTTATTTTTAGATAATACTTATGTCTTGCAAAAGAAGAGACTGGTATGCGTTGATTAAATCATATAGGAAATTATTAATTTTCTGTTTTTAAACAAAAGAGACAGGCTTAATCTGTTCAAGGGCATTGCGAACCAGTGTAGCTTCTTTTAGTTGGACTACTACAAGTAATTTGAGCATTAAAGAGAAAATTACTTTTTTTATCTGCAGCTATTTCCTAAACTTCTCTGTTGTGAAGTTCAATTATTACAAGATTATTTGCACATTATTAAAATGTTTTATACTCCAAGAATTTCAGTCAATTTGAAATACACCAAGATAGCAATATACATCTAAAAGAAAAGAACTCAGAAGTTGCAGTGAGTCTTGAAGTGTTTTTGGATTTCCCAGTTATATGAAAAGTGGCACAAAAATCCTATTTTTAAAGCAACATTTTAAATGCATCATAAGTCTGGCACTCTTATAGAGTCTCATGATATCTATTGTGTAGGAGGAACGGTATATTAAGATGTTTAATATGCAACATGTTGCTAATGAAATCATAGGACAGAATGCAAAATGGATGTTTCCTATGACGACAGCGTATATTTTAAAATCATTTAAGTGCATGTTGTCATTTTTCTCGGTTACTTTCGGTTAATTAATATGCCACTTTGGACTCTAGGTGATAACCAGTTTGCTTGTTTATCTCAAAGATAAGCTTTAAAGGAAAAAAAACCCACACAAAAACATAGCAACAGAAACAAAATACAGCCCCTGTCACTGAGACTGATAGAAGAACTAGCATACCTGGCTGACTTTGCAGTCTTGGTCAGGACAGCTCAATAACACTGTAATGGATTTACAGATAACTGTGGCAATACAAAGTTTAATTAAATCAGAGCTATTTCTCTGTGAGGAACCTTTTTAGTGTCCTAGCACTTGATGCAGCCAGTGTCAAAATGGGTCCTTGTACTTTGGATCATATATTCCTATTCCAGCAATTTCCAACTTTGTAACCTTGCTTGAAGGGTTTGTCTGCAACGAGGGTTCGCACACTCTAGCAGAGTAAAAGGTTAAATTCTCAAGTATAAAATTAGAAAACAGTTTTTTAAAAAAAGTACAGAAACAAGAAAGTACCTGGCGCATTCCCACGTACTAGCTGTCAGCTAGTATTTATCCGATACGCTTTTTGGCTGTAGCAGTTAAGAGTCCAGCTCATCAGCATCCTGTCACAAGAGTGTGTTCTTTTAGACCAGATTATTTTGCCTCCTTAATATTTTCAGAGTTAACTATGAGACGTACCACTCTCTTCTAGACCTTTTTGCTCTGGAAAGCTCTCTGAGGCTATCTTTTCCTCACTGTGCCTTTGTTCAAGATAGAGAGATGTGCTCTTTCTCAACTGTGTCTTTTCAGAATGCTTTTCCTAGTTCTGACCCCACAGGCATACAACGTGCAGGCTTATATCAAGTAGTGCTGTTGCAATTGTTTACAGCTTTTTCATTCTCTGGAGGTAAGCTCTGAGAGAGAGAGAGAATACAGCACCAGGGACCTTTTTGGAATTTACATTTTTAATGTATTTCTTAACTAGCAGATTCTCTTGGGGAATGACTGGAATTTTGTGCTCTTTGCAGGGCTTTCAAGGGTCAAGAAATACATTCATTTTGCATATGTATTAGGCTTTAAACGTGTAGCTTGCTGTTAACTCTTCATACAGCCCATGTAAATAATAAACAAGATGACAAACTTGTCATCCATTTCTCTCCATTCTCTGCTACCTTTTTGGCTTTTGATGCTTTAAGGTCACCTTAATGTCATTTTAGGTGCACACATAACTTGAATAAGAGCGAGATCTTTTAAAATAACATTGTCGATTAGAGCTGCACGTATACCACCTGCATCTGTGAGCACCTAGGAGAGCATGAAAGTCTTGTTCCTTAGTTCCTTCTGAATGTTTGTGGCAGTGAGATGGCACATGGGGGTGTCTGCTCTGTTTCCTTTAGAAATGCTCTCTGCCACAGAGGTAAGTACTCTAAGATGTCTTTTCGAAGGTTTTTGTTTGTTTCAGGTCTTAGCTATCCTGTTATGCCTTGTACTGCTAATACTCAAAATAGGTGCTTGGACCTTTTTCATCTGGACATTTGACTGCAGCTTCATTCATTGAAGCAAATGATAAAGTTAACCTTGAGCTCAAAGAATTGGATAGCCTCCCAGTCAGGTACTTAAGAAGTCAGTGTCACGCAATGCCAAAGTTCACACTGACTGGTCCTTGTTACATAAAGATATTACTTTAGGGATTGGTGCCAGTTTTAGCTGAAGCCCAATGCCATAAGGTATACTAAAAAAAAAAAAGAGAGGTGCCTGGTGCCGTTTGGTGTCAGCTAACAAGAAGTCATGGAAGCAGATCTCAACGAACAGGGCTGTAACTGTTAAGACTTTAAACAGAAGAAGGGGAGGTTCTATAACATCTCGCAAGGAAGCGTAGTCCTATCTCCCCTAAAATAAGACTGACCTAATTAACCATGTCATTCACAACCAAAAGGCATCTCAGTGTCAGATCTGCAGCTGTCTGATTGAGATTGGGACTGTGTTGGCCAACAGAAGGAGGGCCATATTTTGTCAGCATATTTCTCTGACACAACCATACTGCAGAACTTCAGGAGACAATTTCAATCTCATTCAACAAAATAGAAGGTTGCATATTGTGTGATGAACCTCCTTGGTCAGACCGGTGTTACTGGGCAGAGAAGTATGACAGGCACCTTAACATGGGCTACAGAGCAGTAGCATCTTTAATTTTTTCCAGAGGAGGAGAAGTGCTAGTCTTCATATTGTGGAGAAAAAGTTATTTAGGATGTTTACTCAGCTGCCAAGAATAAGCTTTCTCATTTTCACATGAAAGCATGGCCAAATGAGTACAAAAGGTTGTTTGGTTTTTTTTAAACCAACTTAAAGAGCATTATTAGAGCACTGTTATTAAATTTCCTACTGAAGTTTAGGTGCTTAAGATTTTTAATCCTTGTTTCAGTACTTGGTTATTTTCACCATGTTCCAGATTGAGGGCACTTTCAGTTACAAACTTTCTTTTTCATGCAGTTTAAGTCATGTCAGTCCCTCAGAACTGGGGAAATGCAACAATTAAGGCTTTTCCTACAGTCTTAATTTTTCCTCCTTGTTTGTAGACATTATAGTATTGTCTTTAATTACATGATCATATACTATTTTGCTGATGTCTCAGTTCAATTGTTCAGTATTTCTTTTCATCATCCTTATTCTTTGTGTACCTTATTTCTCAACCTGCCATTCAGACACTTCAATGAACACAAAAGTATTAATTTTTTTTCTCTGAGAATGTGTGGTAATGCTATCTATCTTATCTGAGTGCCTCACAAACATCAGTTACGTCTTTCTTCCCAGTCCCTTTATGAGATTAGGTGTGATCTTCCCCATTTGACAGATGAAGAATTTACAGAAACACAGAAGTACAGGAGCATTAAGGTTAAAAAAAAAAAAAATTTAAAATCCACTTTATGCCAGTGTTGAGACATCTAGGACAAGTTGCTAGCACTAATGAAGTTTAAAGCACTCAGAGCACATTGAAAGCATATTTAAATTGCAGTTGTTTGAATGTTAGTCTTACCTAGCTGTGTCTCCAAAATAAATATTTATACTTTCGTTCTGTACTTCTGTATGTAGTGGTATAGCTATACAGTTTTAATGTATGCTGAGGTTTTGATACTTTGCATTTCTGTGTTGTTTTGCATTGTCTTTACACTGAATTGCCTTCTAGCTAGCTAAAATTGCAGCAAAATAAATTCTGCTAAATTATCTGCCTCTTTCTTGAAACAGTTTAGTCAGATGATAAATCTGTAAAGCTAACTATTTAGGCAACACCTGTAGACAGGACCCCAGACAGCATTGTCGTTATATGTAAAACTTCATTGCCTAATTTCACCCCTTCCTGTAGCCTTTGAGAAAGTTGTTAGAATTTAAATTATTTACTTAGCATAAATCAGGTTACATGTGCTCCTTAAAATATCACAGTATTCTTTCTATTCCTAACTGTTGGCAAGTTCCCAACAGTTCAGTATGTTCCAAGATCATAATTACTTTATATTAATAATGAGGGAGTGAAAATACTGAGTAAAGACTGGCTTAGAGATAGAACAGTTCAGTAGTAATAGAGTTGTATTTAATAATGCAACTTACTAGATTTAGACTAGACACAGTAAGTTCTGTGTTAGTCATCTATGAGTTACTTAACTGTAAAACTAGACTTCTGCAAGCATCATGAAGAATATGCACTAATTAAATATCCTCTTACTGCTCATAAATCTGTGGTGCTTTCTGAAAATTTTGCACTGATGACAAAGCTGCTGAAGTTATTTCATGAGAGAGAGAAAATTCCATTTATTATTTCCATACAGTTTTTAGATGATTTTATTTGTTGCTCTGCCCTTTATTTTCTTCTTCCTCCCTCTGTGCTCTGGACTGAGAACTAATACTTCTGTTAAATTCACCAGGTGTGAATTTTATTATTTTTGTCAGTTCTGGTATCTGTACAACTACAGTGAAACCTCCCTTGCTCTGTGAAGTCCACTCTTAAAATCAGAATAGCAATCATATAAAACACGTGCCCACTTTTGAGGGTCTGTGCTACATTTATACTAATCCCTGGTTTATGTCCACCTCTTTTCCTGATCCAAGTAAGATATGATGACTTTTTTTTTTGTATTGCAAGCAGTACATGGTTAGGTCTAACAGTACCTCATTAGAGTATCATCTTCCTGCAAATACGTTGGAAGCCGCCTTATTCTTAAATGAACAAAAAGCAATCGTAGTGCTTTCTAAATTAATTTTTGCCGAAAAAATCTTCAGAAATAATTCCCGACAGTATGCACCACTACATAAAATTCAGAGGATGTTGTTGTTGTTTGGTGATGTTGCTAGAACCTTTTATTACAGGCTTCAAAATTCCCAGTAGCACTTCTGACTGAAACAGGCTCATTTGTCTACCATGTTAGTACTCAGCTGATGTCAAGTATAGCATAATGTAGATTGCCTCATTTTTCATACCTAATTTGCTTTATTTATACCTCCACAATTTGAGCCTCTGATTGTTTTTAATAATCTAATTACTATCTAGAAGATGCATAATTTTAGTTATGACACTGGGTTTGCATTTTACTTTTACACACAGATGCTAACTCTTCAATCTACTAAACAGTAGCACCTGAAAGAATATTTTAACTACTAACTGAAAAACAAAACAAAAGTAAAAGCATGGCATCACTGTCTGTCATGAGTAATACACTTCCCGAAAAACCTCAAGCAATGATGAATAATATTTCCACAAATATCCGGTACCATAGATTGACTAGATACAGTATGCCGATTTCCTAAACACCCATTGCATTCCTCTGAAATATATTTCTGCTTACTGCTTTCTGGACAAGCCTGTGTTCTGCAGGGGTTTCTAAGGTCCACTGGTAGCTGTCTAAATTATCACCACTGGTGACATGTAAGCTTACAGAAGTTCATTTCAGTCCTGTGCTTAAAAAAAAAAAGAAAAAGAAAGACAGTAGGCTTTGTTTTTCTAGTTTCTTTGCGGTAATCTTCAGGAATTACCAATCCATTTTGCTTCTTGAAAGGCCCTGACTTCATGCGTGTGAAACAGTAGTTTCTGTTGGGTAATTCTGATTTCTGTTTTTAAAACGCAGGTAGTGTTACATTTCTGTATGTTCATAGGGAGCCTGGTTTCTCAAACTGAATGTCTAAGACCCCACCCAAAATTTCTTCTACCCCAGAAAGCAAGTATCTAGGCCTAAATAAATAAATAAATAAAATCTAGCTCCTTCTGTGAGACCAAATGTGGCAAAATTTATAGCACTTTTAGTATAATTTTGTTAAAAATAAAAACATCATAAGTTTTTTCTACAGTGAAAAATGTTTGTACGTGCTTTAAATGTTTAGGTGGCTAATGTATGTATCTTACAGCTTTTAATAATGAGGAGATTAGATTAATAAGTATGTATGTTTCTGTTTTAGGAACTTGAACAATACAAAAGAAATGCCGCTAAATCCTGGAAAGAAATGGATTTTGACCCTGATTGATGAACAGCTATAGGTGTCTTCATTGTAACATTTACAAAATTACTTTAAGCATTTTAACATTACACTAGCAATTTAATCTGATGCAGTTGAAAATATACAATATCAAACTACAAAATTAATATTTATTAACAGCATTCCTGTTACTATTTTTAATAAAAATAGACGTTCATTTGTTCAGTCCAAATTTAAGTATCTCTTGGTACTGACACAGTTTTAAAAAGTGGGGAGAAAGGAATTCTAGACTGTTCAGAGATGGGTTTGAATATGAAGACTGGCATTCATCAGTTCTACCTACTCTATAGTTTATAACACAATATTTGATTTATTTTTTAATGCTTCTGCCCTAAACATGTATTTGAATATAAACAAGTTTTCACACCCAAAATACGAAACTGCATAGTAAAGTATGCTAGGTGTTCTTTTCCTAGTTCCTCGCATATATAATTCAAAAGCAAAGCTTAAGAATATATTTGCATCATTGTTTGATGTATTTGAATAGGATAGTTCCACAAAAACTGGCAGAATAAAGTGGAATTAAAACCAGGTTTGACCTGATCTAAAATTCAGAAGTTTGCTTTATCACGGTTTCAGTATCATACAGTTTAATACAGGAATTATTTCTTGCAATGTATAATGTTGCAGTAACTTTGCACAGAATTCAGAAGACAACATTTCTGTCAAATATTCAAATGCTGTGAAGTCAGTCTAATCAATTTGACAGATATTTGGTTAGGGGTGGAAGTGTAAGTGATTCACATGCAGCCTAAGCTGGTGAAACGCTAGCCTAAACTACACACGGCTTTTTGTCCATGGACATCCTCGCTTTTATGAGATGGCCTGAGTGTTTTGAGAATATGCAAGACAGGATCTAGAGTAAAGCCAGAGGTGTCTCTTGAGAGGTAAGACTTGTTGTTAGAGAATATATGTCTGAACAGTCACTTGGCAGACCAGATTGTAAGAATGTTCCCTGATGAACAACCCTACATGCGCATAAAAACGGGAAAGACAAGCTAATGTAGTATCTTTCCAGCTCTTTAAAGTTATTTGTTATTTTTAACATATTTGTTCATTGAATGGTTTTCTGATATAACATTTGTATCTTAGAATATTATATATAAAGATACTAGAAAAAATCTTGGCCTCACGCTTAAGTGGAGAACTTGCATTTACTTGAGGATTTCAAATTCTTCGTTACAAAGTGCATCATCTCAAAGATATCAAACTAAACTAATTATATTATTATGGAATTTTAAGATACAAATACACTTACCTCCTTGAAGAAATCTCTAGCTATCCCTCTGTAATAAATAATTTCTTCACTGAACATGCGAAGTAAGTTATAAAATTTAGGAATTCAGTGTCTGTTAGGCTTTCAATTTTGAGAGGTACTTATATTGATTAAATGGATAAATTAGACTTGGGCATGTTAGTGAGCCCGTGAGAATAATTTCCAAAGATGCAAGCTACATCGCTCCCAAGAACTGGCAAACAACTTTTATATTTTTCTTCCCTAGCTAAATAGACATTTTATTAACAAACAAAAATTTGTTCTAGTAATTCACAAACTGCTTCCAAAACAAGATTTAGAATTTTATAATGAAAAGAAGGAACAGATGTAAATAACATAATTGTCTTCTCTGATTTACCATCATTTACAAGACAAAAACATGTTGGGCAACTTTTATATTGCTTAAAGATCCTGTACTCATTGACTGTAAAGTATGCATAAGATTAAAGTGGAGTGATTTATTGATTCTGTCTTTATTTACACTTACTTGGTTTGTTGCATTTCTACAAATCCCCAAAATGGTATCAAAACAAAGCATAGGAGTTAAAATACAAGATTTACTAGCAATTATACCTCTCTGCTTATTGGTAACGGTTAAAACCCAAAACAGTGTGAAAAGATTAGAGCACCATCGATACATTGTTAAAAGTTGACAGCAACAGCTGACTGAATTAAGTTCAAAAAGTCCTTTAAAACAGGTAGTACTGTTGATTATGGCTGATTTGGGAGTGGGGTGGGAATACCAATAGCAGGAAGCCATTCATGCTCTTAAGAGAACATTGTTTTTCAAGATGGAAAACATCCGGTTAGAAACAAACATAAGAAGATGAATGTGTTTCTGTATGTATAATCACTTAAATTCTATCTAAAATCCATCAATTTAAGCCTTCAACCATAATCAAATTAAAAGTGTATTGTTAGACTTTGTTAGCACTGCTACTTTTTCATTGCCTGCCAATAATTCTCTCTCTTATTTCAAAGCTCAGAATTGCTATAATGGCAAGTCCTGGTAGAAAAGCGTAGAGTATTAAGAAATCGATTGTGAACCGGGTCAATGCACCAGGAAAGTTTTTTTCAATGAACTGAATGCCATGAGAGAAAATACACGCAGCATTAATTGCAGTGGAACTGTTGGCTCCACCTGTCAAAAGAAAAAATCAATTCCTTTAGTAGGTGAATCAGTAAAATTAAAACTCAGGCTTCAGTATCTAGCTCATACATTTAATATACCTAGCCCTAACGTTATTTTAACGATGAACTATACCCACAGCAATATTTCCCATCATTTTGGAATAAGAACAGACAAGCCATATGTTTCTGCAGTTAATCTATGCCATATTTTTTTGAAGGGAAGAGTAGAGGGTCACTAGGAGCTTTCTATTTTGTTCATGCCAAACAAAAGAGGATTTATGGCTTTTCAGACACATTATCTGGAGGGGCCTCAAGAAGCAAGTTGCCCAATGTGGTAGACTTATGGTGTTCATATTTGTTGAGTGCTTCCAAAATTCAAGAAATGGAGACTGTCAGAAGGGCACATTAAAAATCAGCTGTTTATTATTACTACCAAAGTCATGGATTAATTTTCTAACATTTGCCAGCTCTGCTCTTGTAATAAAGAGGGACAGGAGAGATTAATGGATAAAGAATATATAGCCTTGGAGAGGAGCACAGACACCTGGCTACAAAGCCCAAAATATCTTAGGGTAGGTCCAAAGCTGTAAGTTTTACCCCCGCTGATGGATGTTAGCTACTAACCCTGCCAACCTGATTGATTCTAATGTTTTGCCGGTTAGCTGGCTCACAGCCTGACAGATGCAAGCTGCTCAATATATGCCATCGTAACATACTTGAACTGAAGCCTCACTGGTATGAAAGGAGACATCTGGTCAGGTGTTACCTGTCAGTGCTCCCTGCACTGACGTTTGATCTTATACTGTGCAATTCTATTGATCTATTTGCATAACACTGCTCCGATGATAAGCATATAACAGGCTGCAAAGTTTACCTTCCAAAATGCCCCCAAAGGGGGGATAAAAGAACAGGTGAAGAAGAAAAAGATGAAAAACTGAAAGAATGAGAAATGGTTGAAAAAAGGGAGTCAAAGTTTTGTCTAGCTTGCGGAGCCAACAAAGAGAGGTGCTATGCTGCACTATGATCTCGCCAACAAGGAGGGGCTGGTGGGGAATGTGAAGCTCAAGGGCAGCCTGGGCTGCAGCGACCACAAAATGGTGGAGTTCAAGATCCTTAGGGCACCGAGGAGGGCGCACAGCAAGCTCACTACCCTGGACTTCAGGAGAGCAGACTTTGGCCTCTTCAGGGATCTGCTTGGTAGAGTGCCATGGGACAAAGCCCTGGAGGGAAGAGGGGCCCAAGAAAGCTGAGTAATATTCAAGGACCACCTCCTTCAAGCTCAGGAGCAATGCATCCCAACAAAGAGGAAGTCAGGCAAAAACACCAGGAGGCCTGCATGGATGAACAAGGAGCTCCTGGACAAACTCAAACACAAAAAGGAAGCCTGTAGAGGGTGGAAGCAAGGACAGGTAGCCTGGGAGGAATGCAGAGAAGTTGTCCAAGCAGCCAGGGATCAGATTAGGAAAGCTAAAGCCCTGAGAGAATTAAATCTGGCCAGGGATGTCAAGGGCAACAAGAAAAGATTCTATAGGTACGTTGGGGATAAAAGGAAGACGAGGGAAAATGTGGGCCCTCTCTGGAACGAAACGGGAGACCTGGTTCCCCAGGACATGGAGAAGGTGGGCGTACTCAATGACTTTTTTGCCTCGGTCTTCACCAGCAAGTGCTTGAGCCTCACCACCCCA